GCAGGGTCTCCCTTCCCCTTTCCCGCCTTTTCCATCCCCACATTCCAGAAAAACCCCTCTGAATGGATTCTGAGTGTCCTTCATCCTGGAATCCTGGAATGGTTTGGGTGGGAAGGGCCCTCAAATCCCATCCCATTCCACGTCCAGGGACACCTCCCGCTATCCCAGGTTGCTCCAAGCCCCATCCAACACTTCCAGGGATGGAGCATCCCGTTCATCCTCACCCTGAACCTGTTCTTTCCCTTGGGATGAAAAGACCTGGGAGCACTTTATCCCTATTTCCTCAGCCCCACTGATCCCCAGTGTCCTCCCAGTGTCCTCCCAGTGTCCTCCCAGTTCCAAAGTCATTCCCAGCGGGATCACGGAGAGGAGGCTGGAATTCCATCCCTGTTCCCGGGGATTCTGTGGGATCAGCAGCTCCCGCTCACCTGGTTGGAGGACATGTTCTCTGCCTTCATCAGGGAGGAGTAGCTCCTGCCAAGGAAATATCCCATCGTCATCCCAAATCCCATCCCTCCAAAAGCCCCCAAAAGGGGCCATTTCGGGGTCAAAAATTCCAGAATCCCGGAAATGCACACTGTGTTCCTCCTGGAGCTCGGCCAGGGGGGGATAATTAGTCGCTCATCTCGTCCTCCTCACTAATTAAACCCGGGGCAGGGAGGTTCAGGGATGCCTGATTGCCTTTTCCAAGGTTTTTTTTTTCCTCCAGGATCCACCGGCCCGGAGGTGGGAAATCCCGGATTCCGGGAGCTGCAGCCCCTCCAATCCCCCTTCCCTGACCTCTCCAGGGGCTTGGATCGCTCAGGAAACCCCCAATTTTCTTTGAAATCCCTCTTTTGACGCCCTCCAGGGACAAACAGGAGCTCGGGGAAAGCTTCCAAGGGGAGTTTTTGGAGCGAGAAATCCCCGGGGAACGGAGGTCAGGGCGACATTCCAACCCCTCCTCCCTCATTCCCTGCTCCCAGGGGGGGGGGGGGGGGGGGATGGAGGGCTGTAATTAACTGTTAATGAGCAGCAGGGAGGGGAGAGGAAGGGGTGTTAATTAATAGGGATAGCAAGGAAGAGGGATGTTAATGGAGAGGGATATTTAGGAAAAGGGATATTAATGGAGAGGGATTTTAAGGAACAGGGATATCAAGGAAGAGGGATTTTAAGGAAGAGGGATTTTAAGGAAGAGGGATATAAAGGAAGAGGGATTTTAAGGAAGAGGGATTTTAAGGAAGAGGGATTTTAAGGAAGAGGGATTTTAAGGAAGAGGGATATTAATGGAGAGGGATATTAAGGAAGAGGGATTTAAGGAAGAGGGATATTAATGGAGAGGGATATTAAGGAAGAGGGATGTTAATGGGGAGGGATTTAAGGAAGAGGGATGTTAAGGAAGAGGGATTTTAAGGAAGAGAGATATTAAGGAAGAGGGATATTAAGGAAGAGGGATATTAAGGAAGAGGGATATTAAGGGAGAGAGATGTCAAGGATGAGGGATTTAAGGAAGAGGAATGTTAAGGAAGAGGGATTTTAAGGAAGAGGGATTTTAAGGAAGAGGGATTTAAGAAAGAGGGATATTAAGGAAGAGGGATATTAATGGGGAGGGATTTTAAGGAAGAGGGATGTTAATGGGGAGGGATTTAAGGAAGAGGGATG